TCTCTCTCTCTCACTCTCTCTCTCTCTCTCTCTCTCACTCTCTCTCTCTCTCTCTCTCTCACTCTCTCTCTCTCTCTCTCTCTCTCTCACTCACTCACTCACTCTCTCCTTCATTCGAACTTTTATATTGTTCGTAAACACAAAGGCCTGCGCTTCATTTTTATTAGAATTTTTGACATTCGATACGCATATAATGCTGACTTTAAAGGAACCAAGATTGCATCAGCCAACAAGCCTCAAACGACGAACAGACGAGTCGAAACACGAGTACCGTAGTTAGGCAGAGGAGGAGGGATAATGAGAAAGAGAAGGAGTGAGAAGGTTGATGTAGGAGGGGAAGGAGGAAACGGGCTGACCACGACTTGCCGTAAGCAAGTTGTAATTGGACTCGTACATAGCATCGTCGCCGCCTTAAAGATATGGCGTATCACGAACGATTAGCAGAAGCTCCTTTATGTTCTTGGCCGACAATATGACCTGTTTACACTGATCGATCGTCCGATGGTTACGATGGTCGATACATACGCCCATGGCCTACTAAAGCCTCCTGATATCTTCTCAAGATCTTACGATGCACCCCGATTATCTGCTTGTCCGCAAAGCTAATCGCCACCCTCGGTATTGTCATGTAAGCCCGAATTGTTGATACATCGTCGCAGCTTGAAGCGACAAGTTTGTCGCACGAATCCTGAACATGCACATCACCGGTAATGGTAGAGCTTCCGTTCATGACTTCACGTTCATAATAAAACCCAACCTTTATTAAACAAAACTCGATCAATCTGCCTTGCCTCGATCTTTATTATAAAAACGAGGCTGAAGCAACGTTTTTGACATTCAAGATATTACAATGTTGATTTAATATCATAACTTGTACTTCGTGTTATTATAACATTGTCTTTAGTTGATTATGATGCGAATAATATTAGTTCAGCGAGACGCTCGCTTGTCCTAGTTACTTCATCTTTATTGTAGCAATAATATTTCAAATTCCATTGTAAAGTAATACGTATTAATTTTATGATTTTCAAATATCTAATTTTATCTATTTTAGCTACAAGTAAATTTCTCGTTATACATTGATCCTCTAATCCCCTCGTAAATAACCATTTAAATTGTACATCTAAATTATAACATTTGTATAGATACAATAACTATAAATTGATATTTAAAATTTAATGTAAGCTTTGGTTAGATTTTACAAAAATTAAACTTCATAAGAACAATTCAATATATCATGTATATTTACTGTTCAATTTTATTATTTGTATATGTATTACATGTCAATATGAGCAACATATACATTAATTAATTCATTATACGGTAAGTGAACAAATTAAGATAAAATGCATATTTAGAAAGAAATAAAAAAATGCAATATGTGTGGCTGTATAATTACTACTCATAGTTACAAAAATATGCATACCTAACCTCCAGTTAATAAAATTAATAATAGAGAAATAAACAAACAAAGAAATGAATGCTAATCTCTTCAATTTACTATAATTATACTTTGATTATATCACATATGTCATGATGACGAGTGGCAGTCACATCCAACAAAGAAACACTTATATATAGCAGAGTTCCAAAATTCAAGCGTAGAAAGGGGAAGTGACGATGGGAGAACAAAGAGGATGGGGAGGGAGGGAGAGAGAGAGAGAGAGAGAGAGAGAGAGAGAGAGAACGTACATGCGCGAGTCCCTTTATGATATCTAAGCAGTACACACATACATTCGTCAAAGTTTCTCGTTTCGAAAGCTTTCGCAGTTGTAAACAACGAATGTCAATTTAATTCGAAGAATAATGAAGGAACCTTCATATTCAATACATTAATACATTCTCGTATATAATTAAAATCTATATTATTTGAAATGTTGAGTAGTTACAATTTCCAAGTCAAATAATTCAATAATATCTTTATAGCTCGATAAAAAAACTTTTAATTTTATTTTATTTATAAAACCATTACTTGTTATTATATATAACATAATTGCCAATGTTTTAAAGCATTTCTATTGGAATACGCGACCCAAATCTATAGCAAACAAAAATTTATTCTTTTTCTACAATTTTGAATTTAATTTTTCTTCTTTTCCATTTATTTGTCTTTCAAAATTAGTAATAAAAAAACATTAAAAATATTCATTATATTTTCTAATCCATCAATAAATAAATATTCAAGAGAATAATGGTGGTTAATCAGAGAGTTACCGTTGTTAGAGTGTTGAACAGAATTGTAAAATTATTTTCAAGTTTTTTAGTTTGGTTCTTATGGTTTAAGTCTCCGAGATTTATCGTATGCACATGCCTAGTGATTGCGCCTCCCTTTGTTCTTTGTTCCATTCCTATACATATGCACAAGTCTCGCCGCTCCCAGCTCTTTTTCTTAGGGTTGCGTTCTCGCTCAATTACCATCTCTCTCTCTCCCTCTCTCTCTCTCTCTCTCTCTCTCTCTCTTTCTCTCTTCCTCACTCTCTCTCCCTCCCGCCCTCACGCTCACGTCCACTCGCCCTCTCAGTAGCTACTTCCCATTTCTCAACCATTCTACCACATCTTTAAATATACCGTTAACTACTAACCCATTTTAACCCTCCGCAAATAATGCATTCAATATTGACAACGACAATGGCTGACGATTATATGAATTGTGAGATTCAAACATCTCCACTGTTAACAGTATTTTTAATTATAAACATCAAATGTCAAATTATAAACATTGTTAAAAATGTCAAAATCATTTGGTTGAGTTTTCGGCAGTGATACTTTATACTAATGCCCGGAGATGATATTCATTTCCAACTTTCCAACATTTAAGTATAATTAATTTGGTGAATTTAATTATCCTTATATATTTTAATACAAAATATTTAAGATAATTTCATGAATATTAATGTTTTATAAAAGAATTTAGCGTCGGAAAATTTTGAAACAAACAAACAAAACGAAAAAATAAGAAAGAAAAATTATGCAACTATGATTTTACAATATTAATGCAACGAATTACAGGTTTCAACGACTTACATTGTTCGATTAGATTGCACAAACTTTGAATATCTTACAATGACATAAATTAGTTTTATTATATTATTCGAAAGACGTTTCGTGTAAACATATTAACTTTGTTTATGACCAAAGAGTGTCAGTGTCGGATTTATTTAAAGATCGAATTAAAAAAAGGTCAGGGTAGATAAGCGTTAGCTAATAAATAAATTAATACGTGTCGCGTGAAGCGCTTTGAACGAGCGGCTGATTATTATTTGCTTGAAAATTCACAGAGAAGACATAATTTGTCCATAGGAAAATTTTTCAGCTTGGGCATAATTAAAAAATATCATTGTCATATGCCAGAACAGGCGCCGAGAACTAAAATATCCGAGAACAAGAGAATGAGAGAAAGATAATAAAGAGTTTGTGAGAGTGAGAGTGAGAGAGAGAGAGAGAGAGAGTGTGTGTGTGTGTGTGTGTGTGATAGATATATACATATATATATATATATATATAGATAGAGAGAGAGAGAGAGAGAGAGGGCGGTGATGATGAATAGGGAAGGGAGGGGAAGCGATGGGAAAGGAAGTGGGTGGGGGAGGGGCGGAGAGAGGGAGTAGGAAGGGAGAAAGCACGAGCGTGTATTGCCTGTACAAAATACTTCATAGCGATGGCAGCAGAAGCGGTAGAAACGTCGAGAGTTGTCGGGGACAAAGAAAAAGAAGAAAAAAAAGGAGAAAAAAGGAGCAGGCAGTAGGGGAATGGGAAAAGGCCATGGCAACGAGATCTCGAAAAGGGAAGCGGCAGCAACAGGGACGAAAGAAGCGAAAAGGGATTTTGGGAGAAATGTGCCTAAGTGTAGATGTGGTAGTTGGTGCGTCGGTATGATCCCGCTTCTGTGTGGGAGACAAAGAGACACGACGATACGGAGGAGCGAGTGATGAAGGGAGGGTGAGGGTTGGTGGGAGAGAGGGAGGGAGGAAGAGAGAGATAGATAGAGAGAGAGAGAGAGAGAGAGAGAGAGAGAGATAGATAGAGAGCTAGAGGGAGAAGCGTAAAAGAGAAAGATGCACTGACGTGGCGCAGTTCGCCAATGGGCGACGATGTGGCGAGGGGAAGGGACGGGTAGGGCTAGGAGGTCAATTCTGCACTTTCAGCATATCATCATCTATACACGAGGTTACGGCCGAGCGTTCGTTAATTTTTTTTCCGGGATGAAAAGGAGAGCAATAATAACAGATTTTTCGGAGTAGGGGTATTTATTGATCAACGACGCTTCCTTAGCCCCGTCGATGTTTCCTTAATCGCCGATCGCGTCAAATCTCGTCGTGCCAGCCTGGAGAACCGACTCGACTTTTACGAAAGCGCAATTTTTTTGCATCGGGGGAAAATACTCCCGGGGTTTGTGCCTCTATTTGTGCAGTTAGCGAGTAGTTACCATTATCCGACAATACTTCTCGTAGCTTTTACAATCGTATGAAGTGAGTGGCGAGTTAAGTGATCGGGAGGCGCAGTAACATGACCGGGAGTGACTGAGAATACGTAATTGACATTAACGGGGACTGTAGAGTAATGGTCGGTAATTCGCACCGGCGAGCTTCGTTTAGCCATGGCTATTAAACTTTCATGAAATTTCTTTTTCACGCAATGGATTCGTAGGATCCATCCAGCAGCTTCTTTTCACCGACTCGATTCTCCTTAAAACCGAGCGCGTAACATTGGGGGCAAGGGAAAGTGAACAAAACGTATTATCGGTTAAGTTGAACTGCGCGACTAACGAAAGGTAAACAATAACGATATTACATATTATTCTTTTTACGTGGTGTTTACGAGTAAGGACCCAGAGTAAATATTCGTGTTTTGTCGTGACGTGCAATTTTCAAAGAAGTATTATTTCGTTGCTAGAACGTTTATCGCGTGTTTGAAGAAAATAGAGACAGACAGTTGCGACAATTTATAGAGGTAATATAAGAAGAATAAATAAAAATAATAAGTGGATAACAAATGCTCACCTTGCGTAGCCTCTTGACTGCGCTCGTCCTCCCGTTCCTCCAAAATTTTCTCCACCATTTTCGCTCCTGTCGATCCGCTATGCCTCTCTGCCTTCGATAATTCTCGATAACCGAAAAAGGTGAGCGGTGAACTCTTCCCCGATATCGCAGAAATATCAAGCTCCTTGACTTTTTATCGTTATAAGAATATCACTCTGTCTCAAATCACACAAACGCTCTGAAATTGCTCTTTTGCTCTTTTGCTCCTTCTCTCTCTCTCTCTCTCTCTCTCTCTCTCTCTCTCACCGGTATATTGTAATAATCGTAAAAAAGAGTCAGTCGTATTTACAAAAACGCCTATGCACTAGGTACTGATAAATGGGCGACTCTATTTCTTTCTGTCTGTTTATATATTCTCTCTTCTCTCTTTTCTCTCTTTTTTCTCTCAAAATTTTTCTGTATTCTCACGCTCAAATTCTCAATTGCTCATCTCACTCCTCGTTGAACATCAGCTGCTTGCCTCAATCCGAATAGGATAAATTGACAGGGTGACTTGCTGAACGTTCTCCAGGGGCGAATTATGTTTGTCCTCTTGCGCGTTCGCTCCCCAATATATCAGCAATGTAGTTGTATATCACAGATCGAAATAAATATTATAAAGCCTATGTATAGTGGTTTTGTTGAATATGTTGTTGTTATTGTTGTTGGTAGTGGTGGTGGCGGTGTGATGGCGGTGATTGCTGTTGTTATTATTGTTGTCGTTGGTGGTAGTGCTGGTAATGGTAGTATTAGTTGTTGTTGTTGTTGTTGTTGTTGTTGTTATGGCGATGATGATGATGATGATGATGATGATGATGATGACGACGATGATGATAATGACGACGGTGATGGCGGCGCTGACGGCTGATTCGGCTCCGCGCCAGTCGGCTACCTTCCCGATAACGAAGCTCCGGATCCGGATCTCCGTTCGCCCCCCCACCTCCCCCAACTATCACAGACTCGGACGAGTGGGCCCCTCGGGCTCTCGTCCTCTCCTCTTCGCTGCTCCTCCTCGCGCCTCCTTCCTGCACCCGCACGACACCGGTGCTGCTGATCACTGCGAATCCTCCTCTTCCTCCTCCCTCCTCCGACACCTCTCGTTGCTCCTTCGCCTCCTCTTTCTTTTCCTCCGACTTCCTCGGCAACAACGACGCTCGCACGCAGCAGCAGCAGCGTTCTAAGGGCTCGGAGGCGCATCAAAATATCTCACGATCAACACATCTGACCGCTCTTTCGTTCACCGTCCCTCACTGCTCAGCAGTTGGTTTCCGACTGAGCCCGTAACAACATGGTACCCGGAGATATTCGCGGCCGAGACTTCCCCCACCAACGAAACGCGGCCCCCGCCCGTCGACCCCAGCCCCCCGATCAGCCTCGACGATGCTGCGCAGTTAACGCGACTCACGACGCAGCACCATTCCCGTCGTCACGTACGCCACGGCGCATTACTTCCATACCCTTCCTCCCTACCCGGCCGAATCGCCCGGGTCTGGGCCTGCGTCTTCCGGACGATCCTCACTCACGAATTTGCCACAACAGCTTTTCAAACCCAACGACTATCCGCGCTCGCTATCCTCCCTACTTATCATTTTACCACTCGTTAACACAACCTTCCCTGTGTATCGTCCGATCTATCAGGCCTCGCCGCTTTAGCCCCTCGATTACGATGTATACGGCTAGTTCAGCCAGCCCAGCCAGCCAGCCAGCTCAACCAGCTCAACCAGCTCAACCAGCTCAACCAGCTCAACCAGCTCAACCAGCCAGATTCTTACGTCTTTCTCCTATCGACTCGCATCACATTACATTACTTTATTTCTTCGCCAAGATGCGCCATCCACGCGCACGCACACTCCCACGAGCCTCCCAACATCTACTTAGCGCCTCGACTTTTAAAACTTCACCTGTGACATTTTTTTTTTTTTTTTTTTTCTCTCTTTCTCTTTTATTACATCGAGCTGCTGCTTGATTCATTGTAAATGAGATTAATGCACCTAATGAAATCATCGTTAAGAGCTGAGCTTCTTCTATATTTCATTTTTGTCGCACTCTGACAACCTTCCCGACGCCAAGTGCACCTTATACTCGTCGTCCCGACATTTAATTCAATTAAACCAGCCAACACAGCCGCCCATCTAATGATATTCGTTTCTTTATTATTTTATTGATTTTCTTTTTTCGTTTTTTTTCTCTCTTTTTTTTTCTTTCTTTTTTTTCTTCCATATATTATTACTTCATTATTTCATTAAAACTGCAAGATTTTTGGCTTTTCATCGAAAAGCCCGAATACTTGGATTAAGGACTGCTTGCCACTCTTTCTGACGCGGCTTCATGACTCGTGTATAATTTAAAACAAAAATACAAAAATACATAGTCTAACCTTATGCGTCGTCGGCACAATTTTTCAGAAAACGAATATTCACGTTATGTTATTCTATTTTATTCGTTATCATTTATTTATTGCCATGTGTCAATTTATAGTTTACGTCGAATCGACAATATTACTTTTTACTCTACTTTTATAATCACATAGGCCGTGTACGTTTCGTTCTTTTAATGATATTTTCAAATACTTGAATTCTATCTAATTCTATCACTCTTTGATTATCATAAATAACCACGTAACAAGATATACTTTAAATTTAATCTCAATAGCAAATCCATGGTCACATTATTAGTAAATAAATAAATAAATAAATAAATAAATAAATTTTTTTTTTTTTAGATGTAAATTAATAGGATTTCTTTAAGCTTCAACAATATGCATACGTACACATATTAAAAATGCAATTTCCGACTATTTATTTTTAATTTTAAAAAATCGCTTATTATCAGCTTCTACACAAATTCGCGGTATTTTTCTTTCTGCTTAGACATGCATATCAATAATTTTTCGTTAAAACTGTCCATTAATTTGATATTAATGACGAACGACTTTATTAATTCAATCGATCGATGTTTATGAGCAAAAAAAAATTATTTATCCAGAGTCAAATATAACGCAGGGAAATTAATACAAAACAAAAAATTAATTATTTAATAATTATTTAGTAATTTAAATTGGCATTTGGATCTAGAAATAGCGTATGTCAATTGGGAAACGATTTGTCAAATGTCGGATAACGTGGAGAGTTTGCGATAGTCGTACATTAAAGTCGTTCGGCATTTTAATCGACGAGCTAACATTAACATAACTTCGGTTGCTAATAAAACAAAGCGAAAGGTTGCATTAAAAAGCTGGAAAAAAGCTTAAAAATCCAAACGCTCATCGTCCGTCACGAAGAAAAAGAGGCATAGAAGAAGGAAGACTCAGCACTGTCGAGTCTTATCAACCCGGCCGGTTTCGCCAACTGTTTTTCCCCCACCCTCCTCACCCGCAACTGCCGACTCGTTCTCTCCAAACCCCCCCCCCCCCCCCCCCCCCCCCCCCCCCCCCCCCCCCCCCCCCCCCCCCCCCTGCCCTTCTCTCGTCGCTCAACCCCACTGATCGCGCATCGACTCTCCCACTCTATCCGCTCCCTCTCACTCTCTTCCACCGTTGCTCGATATTGGCTGTGTTTTTTGTAGTGCGATGTTGCTGTTCGCGACGATTCCACCCCACGTGTCCCCCTCTGCGCCTGCATAATGCTGGCCTCGCGGCAACGATCGGATGATGAAACATTTCAAAGTACGACGAGTGCGATGACAATTTCGGCATGGATCGACCGGTTTTATCATTGCCGGGCGCGGCCATTTCATCGCGCAGCCGCGGCTATACTATTCGACGTACTGCGACTCTATTAATAATAAGTGAGAGTCGATTACTTGTACGCGAGAGAAAATGAAAGAGAGTGAGTGAGTGAGTGAGTGTGTGAGTGAGTGAGTGAGTGAGTGAGTGAGTGAGTGAGAGAGAGAGAGAGAGAGAGAGAGAGAGAGCTATGCGTGAGATATCGTCCTAAGACTTTTCCAAAAAATTTGCTATGTACTTTTTACAGTATTGCGTTTACCAGGAACATTTTAAGTAACAGATTTTATTGAATTGTATGCGATGATGAGTGAGCTCGATTTTTTACATATCTAGGATTTAAAATATTTTGTTGACGGTGCGCGATATTACCGAATCCAACTAAGTATATACTCGTCATAACCACAACCGTGTACCATCAACTTTTATTAGTCTTTTATCTGCCTAAATAGTATTAGATAGAAATTATTATTGAACAGCTGATGGTACGATCACGAATTATGTGAATTCATTAACGAGCCAAACATCTTTCTCGAAAACATGATTACAAATTGCTTTTGCTATCGTATACATTTGAAACTTTGCATCGTATATGCACGACGTAGCATTACGAAGAGCTACGAGCGCAACTTTTACGTATAACTAAGCATATTGTAATAAAAGAGGTTTATCGATGTTAACGCACCCGGTCATATAATAAAGATTCGCATACTATGTACCGTCGGCGTATTAAAGTAATAGATTAAAAATTGATAAGGCAAATAATGATAATAATAATGAGAAAAGGTTGCGATATAAGTACTATGGCGATATGTAGGTTCGCGTGAAAAACCTTCAATTGTCTTCTATCATTTTATTTTCAATTTTTCCATAAAATTGAATAATATTCCTCGTATCGATCAATCATAAATTGTCACGATTTAGCATTAACGCTCATACTGAACTACATTTAATGATCGCAGCCTAAATTAAAATTAATATTCAATTTTATTACTATTAATTAAATACTCCCACCCGTGGCATTGTTTTAATTATAACATTAATTTATTATAAATTAATTTCAAAATCATTGTGGTTTTTTTTCCCTAAATTATACATGTAAACTCGATAGTGTGTCAGATAAAAGTGTAACGTAATATCGCGAGCAGCTCGAAACTTCGCTCTTAAACAATTCTATAAATGTCAAGAATAATAATTGATGAAAATCTTGCCATATTAATGGCCCAAACAACTTTCCATGCATTTTCATTAGAATGCGGCTGTCACCATGCCAAGTTTTAATATATTAGTGATATTTCCTACCTTTTCCACATGTCGGTCGATCGTTGTACCAACAGGATATTTATTTTTCATTGACCGTTTTGTCGCCTTAAGTTTGATAATCCAAGGGTTTGGTTGCCTCCATGATCTTTTATCTTTCGCCTAAGGGGCAAATTTAGTAACTCTAGTAGTCCCTTATCTCAGTTTTACTTTCTAATTTATTTATCATTTATCT